GGAGGTGTGTGAGGATGAGAGAAATGGAGACAGTGAGCCAGAGATAAGGGGTGGCCAGGAAGCCCCTGAGGAGGGAGGGTAAAGGGGAAGATTTAGAGCAGCCGTGGGCAAACTACGGCCCTCAGGCTGGATCCGGCCATTTGAAATGAATAAAACAAAACAAAAAAAGACCGTACCCTTTTATGTAATGATGTTTACTTTGAATTTATATCAGTTCACACAAACACTCCATCCATGCTTTTGTTCCTTGTGGCCCTCAAGTTAAAAAGTTTGCCCACCCCTGATTTAGAGGCAGGTGGAGGGACTCAAATGGAGTCGGAGGAGGGAGTCTATAAACAGAGCCAGGCCCAGGGAGAGGCTGAGAAGGGAGCCGGGGAGGAGCAGGAGAGAACCAGATGGAAGGAGAAGGGGCAGCTGCAGGTGGAGCCAAACTAGAGGGCATTAGAGAATGGGGGGCACAGGAAGCCTTCAAGCTGAGCCAACCCTGCACCTTCATCCTCTTTGGAGCCCGGCTGCCTGACTAGCAGGGTGGGAACCTACTCCTACCCGGCCCCCACTCCAGCCCTGCCCATAGCTGCACAGGGACACGAGAACACTCACATCCGGCCCCCAGGGAGAGGAGGGGTTGTCTGCCTGTTTACACCGGCTGCCCTCCCGAGGATTCTGCTGTTGGGGCTGCAGCAGCTGTCTGGGGAGGCTAGCAGGTGGGGCCTCCTCATCCCAGACCTCCTGGAACCTGGGTTGGGACTAAGCCTGGCCCGACCCCCTTCACTCCACTTGGGGTTTGGGAGGACTGTCTCAGGGACCCTGTCTGTCAGCCACAGTGGATTATCTGTGCAGTGCTGATTTCCTCCCCGAGTTTGAATAATGGAGCCCATGGGACCAGCTGGAGGAAGACAGTGTGGAGGAAGTGGGGAATATTAATGGAATAAAAGCTAGAGTGGGAAACGACAACCAGGGGCAGGGGTCAGGGGCCTCAGCACCCCTGGTGGGGGTCTAAGCCCTCCCCCAGGGCTTGGAGAGAGGGGTCCAAGCCCCCTGAGCTCTCCTGGCTCAGCTAGCTACTCCCAGGGGGTGCAGAGGTTCTCCACAGGGGAGACACTATCCCTTCTGGGAGTGTTTTTGGAAATCTCGGAGGGTACAATTTTTATTGCTTTGTGCATCAATCTGGGTCCAATCAGGAGGGAAAGCACAGCAATGGGAACAAGGAAAGTTGAGTGTCAAGAGGTGCCTTCTATGG